GCAAGTTCAGAGGGGCCAAGACAGCCCAGTGTGATGTAGAGCTGGGAAAGTCACCGGGAATAAAGAGAGTGATGCTAATGGATGGGCAGAGCCAGAGACGAGGAGGAATGGCCAGTTACCCATGGTCTCAGGTGACAGGAGACTCCATTTCCTTCATCTTTTGCAGCTTCCCTGTGCAACCACAAGCAAGCCATGAATGGGATGCCCATCCTTTCCACCAGTTCTGGGCCACCTCACTGGTTGGTGGGGACTGTACACAGGGAAGACTTGGGGAAGGCACACAGGGATGAGAGAAATCTGACAGCGGGCAATGCTGCTTGAAGCCAGTTTGGCAAATCTCAGCTCAAATGCCTTCCTGCTCTAAAATGATCGTTGAGAACATGAAAGCAACCCTGTTGAGCCTGTCTCTGATGTAGGAACAGCATTGGCCTGAGGGCCCTTTGGGATATCCATGAGGCAAGAAGTGCCCAGAAGCAACTTGGATGCTCTTTCTCCTGTCCACAGATCCAGCTGGTGTCACAGTGACGTGGCACGTGTGGAACCATAGAAAGTTGGCAAAACTGGTGGAAAGCCACACCGAGGCAGGGAAACAAGGTGAGCAGCACCAGCCTTTTCTGAAATAGCCCGAAGTCACCAGCTGCCTTCAAAATCTCCCCAACACCTGATGCTGGCAGCAGCATCTGCAGAGGTGGGTTTCCCAGGAGCTAGAACCGGTACTCAAGCCCAAGGTTAAGTCCTGCAGCTGTAGGCAGCCACAAGGACCACGCAAATCTGAAGAAAAAGCAATGCTCTGGGTCACGATTTGAAATCACGTTGCTTTCCCATTAAGGAATCAGAAATTTCAGGAGGTGCACACGCTCCAGGGGAGGTTACTTTCCATTTGGAAATGCACCAGCTGGGAGGAGAGAGGGCGAGGTGGCCATCAGGATGAGGTGTGACCAGCAGGAAAGCCCAGAGGAACGGGCAGTATGAGACACCTCGTGGTGAGCACCACAAAGGGAAACATCCAAGGATGAAGGTAACGGGTGGACTGTTCAGTCACAGGAGGACTATGAGGTGCTGGACTAAGGCAGCATGGGAAACGTTTAGGAGTGTCTATAAAGGGATCTCCTACAGAGACAGGGATGGGAGACAAAACTGGGAGAGAAATAAAGAGCCAGAAAATGGCAAACTGAGCCCAAGAGCCTTAGAAAGGAGAAAGAATGGAAAAGGTAGCTTAGGAAGTGCCACCATCCAAAACCACCACATTTTTTTTTTTGTTTTGGTGGGTTTTTTTTGTTTGTTTTTAAGCAAGAACACACATATTTTTAAGCAAACACAGATGGGGGCATCCCAGCCAAAAGGCCTGGGGAACATGGCTGAAATCAGACCATCCCTGTCCCCCCCCACGTTGCCATCAGCAGTCCGTGAAGCTTTAGAGAAACTTCTCTGATCCCACACTCTAAGCAGGAAGATCTCTTCTGCTTGTCTTAATGGAGACACCATGATCTCCTCAAACAGAAGCCCATGAAGCTCCGGGTAAATCATGTCAACAAAGATGCCAGTCGGAATGAAGAGGGCACCTTCAGAACAAAAGCCATACATTAGGGAAAAGCTTCCAAGGACATCCATTGAGAAATACTAGGATATTTTATTTCTCAGGTAAGGTTTCCCTTCATTCCTGAAAACTCCCTTCCTTTGTAGATGTACAAGAAATACTGAAGGATGTGAAGGAGAACTCTAAGGTTTCTCCAGTGCAGTGCTTCAGAGAGTTGGCTTTCCAAGAGGGAGCCAGGCAGTCTCTGCTTGCAACCAGGCACTTCTCTTTTGCATGACATCAGATGACATCAAAAGGCTGTGGCCAAGGTTGCTGTTAAAGGATGACCACAACCGGGGAAAGCTGTCCGGATACCCACCCAGTCTAAACAACACCAAATTGCAGCATTAACTGTGACAAATCTACAGCCACAACCATGGCGGTGGCTCAGTGCCAGGCCACAGAAGTGTTTCCAGACTTGTGGCAAGAGGTTGACTGACAGCCTGCCAACAGTCTTGTCACCTGCACACTCAGACAAGACCTTTCCCTTCAGGCACCTTCTTGCTCTCGCAGCCTTTGGGCATGACCGCTTGCACACGAGTACGCTGCAGCAGAGGAAACTGGTGCTTAGAGAGGAACATCCCGGCTAAAGCCGAGTGCTGTCAGGATGACGAGAGACGGGGACATGCCTGGGCTCCACCTCTCACCATCAGTGCATTTTCCCAAAGTCCTGGCTGCACTACAAACAAAAGGGAGAGACCTCAGAGGCACTTCTGAATCAGGTCTGCCCTGAAGCTTCAAATTCAGAAAGAACACATATTGCAGAGGTGGAGAGGAGGAAGTGTAGTTCATGCTCCAAACACTTCTCAGGGTATAAATCATCTCACTTTAATACCAGCCCATGTCACCCTGAGGTGTTCCTGGACAGAAGCAGCTCATTCCCAGCTGCACAGGACTTGCAGAGCTTGGAGCAAACCTTTCAACTGATGACAAGACCTCAGGGTACAATCCCAAGTGTCATCCTGGCCCCATTTCTGCACACAACTCCTGCAGAGCGTCCCCACCCCTTCCTCATCGATTCTTCCCAAGGGTGGTCAAACCTCCCACCACCCCACACAGAAACGCCCCAGGGCTTGCAGACACCACTCAGACAAACCCCTTCCAAGATACACCATCCAACCCAACGACATGGAAACCACACACCAAACACATGGCAATGGACAATTTGTTCTTTATTGATTAAAAATTAGAGACATGCAGTAAAATACAAAGTCCAAAAAAGGAAAAAAGCCTGAATATTTTACATCTTTCATTATAATCTACAATACACCAAAGTTGTGAAGAGGATCGGTTTTCCTTAACAGAGTATTGTCCTTAAAAGTAGGAACTAACTTAAAATTACCACCTGCTTCCAGGTTCAGATCAGAAATTTGCACAAAACCCAAATTCTTAATGACACTGGAAAACAATTATGAACAGCATTGGCACTTACTGGAACAACATCAGAACAGACAGTTGTCTAGCACTGTAATAGCCCAAGTAAATATTTTGGATCCCTACCCAAAACATCTGGAGATCTACAGAGCAAAAACCATCAGTTTCTTCCTTACTTATTTTCTCCATTAAAGAACAAAGGAGCCGTGGGTTAGTGTGAGCTCAAGCTCTCTAAGTCCCGGCTTTGGGAAAGCAGGGAATAACTTATAATAAATAGATGCTGCATTGTTCCATTTGAGCAGTTCGAGTCCCACCTTCCTCAGCACCAGTACACAAATGAACAAGGAGGTCCCCATGGCATGCAGGCAGAAGGGAAAAATAATACTGTACCAAGACTACCTTGTCTCCATATCCTAAGGGTTTCGAACACAACCATATGGAGCACAGGGTGACATGAAAATCGAGATGCCAGCCTGCTCTTCCCAAGCCAAGAAGCTCGATGGGGGAAGCTGTAGGGAGTGCTTTGCATCAGACAACAGGAGAACGTGCCAGAGGTGCCACACGCATGTGCGCACACACACCTGGCCAACGCCAGCCACCACTAACTCCCTGGTATCAGGCACGCCACTCCTGGGCTCCCAAGAGCATTTACTCAGCGTCCTGGGATGCTCTTGCTCCCAAACTCTTTCTCCTCTCCCTCCCCTTCACGCTCACCAGCCATGGGGCTGCAAATAGCCCATGGGGACATACCCAATATCCACCCAGGGGCTAAAAGCAACGAGGGTGGTATGAAAAAAAAAAAAAAAAGAACATGCACAATTCAGAAAGCTTCCACAGCTGCTCATAGAGAACAATATATAAATACAGACTGTTCATCTGAAAACGTGGAAATAAAAAAAAAAGCCCTAATTGAACGCAGTCATTCCGCTTTAACACTCTGTTTCTGCATTGTTTGTGGCTGACGGAAACCGAACGCGTTTCCATCTGCGTGTTAAATTACAGGCTTACGATTTCTGTGTCGGAAACACTCCGGAGCCAATAGCAGTTACAAAGGCCAACTGTGAAACAGTAGGAAACAAACAAAAAAAATCAACACCATTTATTATTCACATATTGCATTACAAGTGTCTCTTACCAAACTCAGAGTATAATTTATATTATTGATGTAGAAACTCAGATTCAACACCGCCTGGAAATAAAAGCTAAATACGTGTGTGACGGGGTTTCGGTGACGTCCGGATCACACGCCGAGGCCCGGAGCGGCGAGAAGGCTGACGCCCCGAGCGGTCAGTGCAGGGGGGACACAGCCCGGCGCTCGCTCGCCCAGTACTACCACTCTACTGGCGATTCTTTATTGCTGTAAAACGCGACAGGGATGGTTCCACGGGTACCAGTTTGCAACGGACTGGGAAACACGTTGGGAGGACTCGCGCAGCCAGGCAGAACAGACCGGGTTTCAGGAACAGTTTGAAGTGCATCTTTTCCAAACGCAGAGTGAGACAGATCTCCTCTCCCTCTGACCACCAATATGTTGTTGGTCATCTGAAAGACCAGTTTCCAGACAGCAACGCCTCATTGGTCTGCTTCACCAACAGACTACATTTCAGATGCAGAATGAAAGACTTTTTGAGGAAGGACTGCTTAACGTAAATTAAAAGGTTCAGCCCTCATGCCACGCCTGGCACTCATGTGGAGAGAAC